CAATCGTCTACCAAATCCAATAAAAAATAGTGGCACAAGTGGCCGCCGAGCCCTTCTTCACACCATCCAGGACAAAGAGAGAATCTGACCTCCAAAAAGCAGCAAGTAGACGGGTTCACACAGACCACGCCCAAGGAATGCAGAATCTCCTCTTTAAGATGCATCATTCAAGAACACAGCTAGAGAATAACGATATCCTCATTCAAAATGAAAATCGGACACCTTCGGAGAAAGGAAGGGGAAAGCAGAAGCACCGCCTTGTTCTCGTGTAAAACCATATAAGGCGACTTCCGGGACAAAGTTGCTGACTCCAAAACCCTCCGAGCCAAAAATGACAGCGGCAAAGTAATCAACCTTTTGACAAAGCGGAAGCGAGGGGATTTCCCAAATGGCCTCAAATGGGGGCCTCTGAAGAGCAGACGGCACCAAATTCAAATCCCGCACTGACAAAAGGATATACGCAGGAGGAACCACGTCGCTAAACCCATCGATAAAAAGTACAGACCAAAGAATGCGTAACTAAGGACCCCTGAAATTAAACAGCCAGAGCAGAGACTCGCCCCCCCTTGATTGTACTCAACGCAAGCCTTGGAATCGCAGCCCGTTACAGGAAAACCAACACCCGAGCCGCGACAATGGTTGCCGTGAAGCATTGGGGGGTTCCGTCCGCGTTCCAATATAGGCTCTCCAGATGCAATGATAAATCTTCCGGGACGTAGACTTACAGGCCTTCGACGTAATCAGAATCACCAAGCCGGCAACCTTCTGATTGAGGCGGGAAGCCAGAGGATCCACATCCAGAGTCCTCCGCAAACGTAGAGCAGATGGAACGCTTCCAGAAGTAGGGATCGCTCGCCCCAATCAAGCATCTGACAGCTGAAATAATCCCACTCGCAAAATTTTTCAACACATGGAATGTGTACGGCATGCGGAGCCACGACAAACCTCCCCGTCCGCTGCAGAATGTGAGATGCCTCCGGCGCCACTGCTACACTTCTGGTGCCCCCCCGATGATCAATATAAGCCACCTCAGTGACGCTGTCACACTGAATCACGGTCAGCAGACACGACAGACAGTCCGTCCGCTGCTTAAGCGACAACCTGATTACCCAAAGTGCCGGGACATTCATGGGTAAAGTGAGCTTCCGCAGAGTCCGTCGACCCCGAGCAGAGTCCGCTCTCCCAGGACTCCTCCCCGGCCTGACAGGCTGCCGTCTGTCACGACCGCAATCCGGCAAAACGAGGAGGAAAGACTTGCCATTCTGTAAAGGCAAAAGGCCCTCACTGACCATTCTAGGTGAATCCAAAGCTCCGAGCCCTGTTCCGTTTCAATAAGATTTCCCTCTGTAGCGTTCTCGTATATAAGCGGACATACAGAACCACCGTGAAGGTAGCCGGCATCAAGCTTAACGCCGACATCCAACCGTGCAGAGAGGGGACCCCCGTAAGTCGGGAGATGCCAAACCTACAATCAAACCTTCAACAATCTCTCCAATGAAAGGAACGCCTTAGCCTGTCATAATCAAAAATCAACCCCGCTTACTCCAGGCGCCTAGAGTAACTGGAGCTGAGGTTCAGGATCCACCAAAACTCCCGTACAAAACACACGGTTATCACTGTCTAATGGCAAGGAGCAAATCTCCACACGCAGGAGCAAATTGTCCAGGGATCTGATCGCTGCAACCCCCTGTTGCCTCAATAGGGTCCTTGGTAAACACCTGAGGTACAGAGCCAGACCAAAGGGCGACGCCACAAATTAATAATACGCGCCCCCGACGGCAACGCAAAAGAAGCGCCGATGCCGCTCACAAATGGGGACGTGCAGATAAAGCATCCTTGATGCATCCTCCAGATCCACGGTAAATGCAGAAACCACAGCAGCGGGATCCGATTTGGCCACACAATGCACAAACATCTCCAGAGCTTCTGTGGGACCAGTTTCCGCCCCCTCCCCCCAGCTAGACACCACCACCGGTACAGAACACTGCCTCAATAGGGAGAAAGGGGAGAGAGATACCCCCCAGAGAGGACTCACAACCACCACCACCACCACCAGGAGCTGCAAAGGTGCCTGTGTGTCCCGCTGTCCATCCGCATGGCGTGTGTCGAGCCTGGCCTCCGCAAGTCCAGGGAATCCCTGCCACGGGCAATGGTAAAATGGCCACTGAGGATCTTCCCCAGCCAGCCTCCGTCGCTTGATAACTGCTCAGAACCCAAAAAATGGCCTCCCGACAAAAAAATGGCCAAAAATCGCAAACAAAATGGCCACCGCTGGCACGGATCGCAAGATCACCAACACGCGACTATCTCACGACCGCAACGTCCAACCCCAGACCTTCTCACCAAACTCCTGACCGAAGGACCGATCTAAAACTGCGATGTGACGTGCGTAACAATGCCACGCCCAGCTGCACCCTGCACAACAATTTGCCAGCTAATGGACAACCGATCGATGTGCGGTCAGCCTGAGCGATGGTTACCGGATTGGGTTAATTACGCAACTAACCCTTTCACGCTGCCACCGCCTCCTTTTTATCAGAGAAAGAGGAAACTCGGGGTACAGCTAATACACTAGAATGATTGAAATAATTGCCTGTATGAAATGGTCCGCAGGCCGGTTATGCAGAGGTTAAAACAAACAGTAGCGGTCTCTTAAAAGGCAGCGATTCGTAAGATACGATTGAGAGCTTATAGAAACAGTTCAACCCTTTCATGAAAAGATTTCTTACTAAAAGGGTCAAACGGGTGCCATAAAAATATTGACAGAAAAGATGTACTAAGAGATATAGATATATATATATATATATATATATATATATATATACACACACACACACACACACACACACACACACACACACACACACACACACAAAGAACCATAGCACATCAAAGAGATAACGGGGAAGTTAAAGGGTTAAGTTACTTGCCATTTAAGCCTTTGATGTAAGCAGATCCAAGTTGCAGAGCAAAAGGGTCTCCCCGGGTGGTATTGATGTTACAATGGGAGTCTTTTTGACTTCCTTTTTAGGCCCGCTAGCCTGTTTTTTAACAGATCGATACTCTGTTTAGGGAGGGATTGGCAGACGGAACCCAAAATTAGAACCGGCATCTTTCATAATTCATATTATGGCCTATTGTGCTGCCACGCAGCTTTACTGTTTAGCAGTTGTTATTTACATGTTATATTATAATGTTATTTGGTATCATCCACACACCCCTGCTGTTTCTGACTAGTTGGTTGCTTCCACCTTCATTTCCTGTTGTAACTCCATTTTAGCTTAGTGGTTATCAAGATGCTGTAGAGTGAGGAGGCTGTGTACATCACTGGAAATTTACCTATGAAAACACCTTTTATGTTCATACCTTTGCTACCTTGAAGCATAAAGAAGCATTGGAAAATACCTCTGAAGTTGTTATTCATTGAGTAAACTATCTGTTAAGGCGATCATTCAACTTGCTGCACACATTCTGACAGACTGGGTCTAAACGAATCTCGCCACCGATGCCAAGACAGTACAACCGATGCCAAGACAGAACACCTATAACTTCCCAGCTGCACCAGAGAATCTCTCTGCAGGTATTTTATTATGCAAATAAGTCTAAGGATCATGTAGATATGAATTAGGAAATTGTACGTTACGCGGTGTACGAATTCTCTCTTTTGGCTCCCCTGAGCGTGCAAAACAAGTGGAGTGACCTACTAAACGATTAGCATGCTCGTCGCCCATCCGATGATATGTCTGGCTTTTATGTATGTCTCTCATATTCCGAGATATGAGACGTAGGATAAAAATGGATTTGAGAAATGTTAATTTAATTCGGTCACCTACGCTGCTAGGTTTTATGAGGTTAAAACCTCTTTCAATTCCTAGGGAAACTGCCTCATCTCTTGTTTACGAGGTGAGAAATGACAAGTTCTTGAGCAGAGCGGCACTGTCTCTCTTGGGGGGCTTTGTAGCTCTGGGCCCTCTGCTGCTCGAGCCTGCCAGTGACCCACAACCAGATGTCGCTGTGGCTGAACAGAGAGGAAAGGGGGGAGGATGAGGGAAAATATATTTCAGGATGGTTAGTCCCTTCGCCAAGACGGAGGCGGAAACCAAAACGGTTGCGCGCCGCGTCCTTCATGCACCAGCCCCCCTTTTCTGGGGGGGCTGGTGCATGAAGTCAGGGTGAAATGTGCTGGATGAGAGGAGACCCCCACAGGACTGACCAACCAAAGAAGCGCAAGGGGGGGAGGGACGCTACTTAACAAACCGCCAGAGCGTGTGGGTGAAGCTCATCTGTTGATAGAAGATCTCTGCAGGAACACAAAAGTCCAGGAGGAAAAAAAAAAAAAAAATTGTTGTGGGACCACAAATCCCATGCTAATTTCATGTCCATATTCCAGAGACGCTAGGCTGAAAAGACTGGAGACCTATAGCAGAGAGGAGGTTTTCTACCCAGAGATGACTGCCCTTAGGAGGTGCCAAGTCTTTTTGGTTTTATTTTTTTTTTCTGCCTAGTGTCCTAGTCCTGTAACTGGGGCTATAAAAAAAAACACCCTGAAGGAGTTGGACTGCCTGTGCAACCTCTGTAGGATCCAGGTATGGCCTCATGCTACCGCTAACGACACTAACCCAAATGCTAAACTAGTGAAAAACAGTCAGAAAAGATAGATGGGAAAAAAAAATGTCAGTGGCCACCGCCTGTAAAATCGTTCCTGTTTTGGGGGCAGTCTCATTGTTACCCATCTAGTGCACCCGTTGGAAATTTTTTGTTTTTTACCACCAAAAGCGGCTGAAACTGACTAACAACCCCCTCTGCTACTTAACTGACCGGATCGATATCCCAGGAGCTTTGCTGACTTGATGCAAGACTTTTTAATTAATGTATACAATGCTATGCTCAATAAGTCTTTTCTTTCGTTTGTTTTTAGCATTGTATTACATAGTTTGGCCTAATATCACCTACTTTCGGAAAATCACAAGGAAAGAAATGAATTAGAGAAACTCAATTACCTTACTACAGCTTTCCAGCAGGCGATGGACGGATCGGAAGAGAGGCCCGCAGGGACTGAGGCGAGGTGCCGGGTGGTTGCAGTGCTCCTGAAATTCATTCTCGTACACCCGAGTGAAAGTTGCAATGAGCTGATGGAAGTCGGTCGTCGCTAACTTCAAAGTCTGTACGACGGTTTCGCTGGCTGGCACGGGGCTGCGGAGGAAGGTGCACTGCCATAGAAAAAAAGGACAAAAAAAACACAAATATTAAAACGTACAAAAATAAAGGCTTAACTCCACAAACTGCCATTCGGAAGGAAAAAAATAACAAACACAATCATTGCTGTACAGCTCTCTGAAATGTTCACCAATTCCTATGGAAGTCTGCTATTCACACAGTACATAGGAGTACACTATTAGGAATTGACTTACTAAACCTGGAGAGTGCAGAATCCGATGCGGCGCTGCATAGAAACCAATCGCCTTCCAGGTTTTATGCCCTTTTTTTTTTTGCCTTGATTGAACAAGCTGAAGCTGGAAGCCATTTGGTTTCTATACAGAGCTGCACCAAATTTGGAACTTTCCAGTTTCAGTAAATCAACTTCTATGTCAATGTATTGCCTAAACTTGATAGTGATCTTTGATAGAAGTTGTCAATAATAATACGCAGGGGTAGATTTACTAAAACTGGAGCGCTCAGAATCTGGAGCGGCTGTGCATAGTAGCCAATCGGCTTCTACATTCAGCTTGTTCGGTTACCCTAGGTTCACATATGTGCGGGTGGTGCCGCTGCAGATCCACATGAAAATCCGTGCAGCCGCACCACCTCAGAGAAATGCAGACCTAGTTCTAATGGCATGCCACCCGCACTGGAGAAAAAAAAAAAAAAAAAAAAAAAAATTCGTACCGGGAACCGAGGTTCCCGTGTGGGCTGCGTTTTCCAAAGAAGTGCAGGGAATTCTTGCCCTGCGTATCACGGGCACAGGAGTCCATTCAAATGAACGGGCCCGTGCACCCACATAGATGTGAACCAAGGATTAGGCTTTGCCGATAAAAGACGGACGCCGATTGGTTTCTGTGCACAGCTGCGGCAGATTTGAAACCCTCCAGTTTTAGTAAATCCCCCACTGTGTACTTTTAGGAGTCGACGGCAAAAAGTACATTGTTCCTCGTGGAATACCATCTCAGAAAGTTACTACTAAAGGCCAGCAAACACTGAGACAAACAAGTTCACGAGGATGAACGGCCGGAGCCGGGACCGTCAAAGTGCGTAGAGGTGAGACGGACGTAGAAGCAGTGACAAATGTCCCTCTGACCGATCTACGTCTCGTACTCTCTCAGCCCATTTATACACAGCGCAATGCTGCTGAGAATGGTGCTGACTTTATTACATCGGTGCGCAGGAGAAATGACAGATTACCCCGATTGTCACAAAAGCAAACAAAAAAATGCCCGAGAACAAAGGAAGCCAACCTACTGGTAACGCCTCCCGCATCATCTGTCTGCGCTAAATGTCTTTTGGCTGTACTTCCTATGGATCACAGTACTGCGGCTCCATCTGCGCTCCTGTGACCCGTTTTCAGCTGACGGCAGGACAAAGCACGCCGTTAGCGGACGTTGCTCAGTCGGTCCAGACAGGGGAAAGATCCCGACTTTAAAGTCACGATCCGCCCCGGAGTCTGGAGTGGCGCTCTGCTCTGCCCACCCCCGAGGCTAAGCCGACAGCCGTGACCGACAGTCACATCTCACAGCGGAATTGGGAACTCGGCAGTCAAACTAAAAAAAAAAAACAAAAAACACCACACGCATTCCCGTACTTCTCTTTTAATAACCGTAAGCTGACGGTTGCTCACGCATCTTGTTGCCGATCGCATATTGAGATAGGAACGAAGAAACCGTCTTCGGCCATTGGCAGTCCTTTCAGGAGTTGTAGGAGCTAGTAGAGTTAAAGGAGCATCTTACAGCGGAGAAATGGTTAGCGCTTCAGTCTGACGGTACCGGAGTCGTTGGTTCATATCCCAACCGTGGCACGACCCGCCTGGAGTTGGCATGTTCTCCCTGTGCCTGCGTGGGTTTCCTCCCTGTACTCCGCTTTCCTCCTACGCTCTGAAAACATGCCGATAGGTTATTGATACAAATACTCCTGCGCTCGGGGGTGAACTCGATACAGTTATGGATCCGTTGTGGAGATCCTGGACGGTGCGCGCCTCGCCGCCCTCAAAAGGACTGGGGGAATCCAGACGCTGGATACAAAAAACAGAGGCCGCCCTCTGTTTTCTTTGTATGCTACTAGATTAATTGGCTCCCATCTAAATTGGCCCTAGTATGCGTACGTACGAATGTGAGTTAGGGTCCTTAGTCCCCAACCCTCGAGGGGCGTACAATCTGACACGAATGTACAATATATATGTAAAGCGTTGAACAAATTGATGGCGCTATATAAGTACCTGAAATAAAACAAATTATATAACTGGAGAGAAAGCTCAGCGGGAGAGAGAGATCTTACTTTCTTGACGATTAAATAGGAAAGGGATAGAAGGTACAATCTGGTGATGTCTGGAGGAGTATTTAGAACTGAAACCTTCACTCTGAGCGTTCCATTTTACTTTGTTAAAAAGTATGTAAAAAAAAAAAAACAAAAGTCGGTGGCTGCAAATATTACTGTGTGTGTGTGTTTGTTTTTTTTTTTTTTATTTGCAGCTCAAATTATGAAGCGTATTACCGGATAAGCACAAGTGGACCAGGTGGAGAAAGTTTAGGAATTAACACTTGCAAAAGCACACATCAAAAACGGGGGAGGCTATGGGAGTCCCCAATGTTTTTTGGGGGTTTTTTTAGTCTCTTTTGACATTCAAGGCCAGTCAGCAAGCAGCGATAAGTACCAGACATCAATAACAGACAAATGTCAGTATATAAGCAAGTCCAGCTTTGTGGAAACAACCAAACCCACCTACAGTAAAAACAAAGGTTGGACCTATGGAGGACCTGACCCCCCTCTCTATGGAGGACCTCACCCACTCTCTAAAGAGCGCAAATTCAAAATGTCAATGTGCTTGGTACAGCTGGTTGGAATATATCTCTACACCCCAGTTCAGATCACATTGGAATTTAGACATCCTGGTTCTGATCTCTCATCTTAAAAGTTATTTGGTTCTGTGGTCAGAGACTTGGGGCCTTTCCTTGACTGCTTCTCTTCTAGGCCTGGCCCTCCCTCTCTACCAACTCTCCTTTATTCATTCTTCAGCTCCTCGCCCAGTTTCTCTTTATATACCCTTCACCCCTACTAAGGCCCTTCCTAAAACTTGACTCGCTCGGACCCAACCGGAAGTGGAACACCCAGAGTTTGCCTGTTTTTCCCCTCTTTTGCCCCCCCCTCTTCCATCTGCTCTCTTTTTAGTACCTGATACTATTCTATGCACACTTTGCGCAGTCTATTTGCCTTGAGTAAATCAAACCGACTTTACCAAGCTCTAGAGCGACTGCGCTTTGCAAACGAGAGGAATCTCTGCTAACTTCCAACGTTCAATCGTGTGCAAGCATAAATGCGTTTTTGTTTTTCTTTTCCCCTTGCGCGACTAGGTATTCTTTGCAAAGTGAAGCTTCGCCTCATCTGCTAAGCTCTGGAACAACTGCACTTGCAAAGGGCACAGTCTACTTTCCTTTAGTAAAGCAACCCCATTAATTCATCCAGATCAAATACCTCTTTCAAGCAAATCAACGCCCTGTCTCCCCCCCCCCCCCCCCCCCCCCCCCCCCCCCCCCCCCCCCCCCCCCCCCCCCAGGCAAGCTGATATTTTCAAGATAAAGTTGAACCGGGAAATATCAGTATCCAGTTATATTGTATACATTTAAGAATCCGGGCCTTTTTTTTTTTAACCGCTTGCCCTCTAGACTATTTACTCCCCTTCATGACCAGGCCTCTTTTTGCTACTCGGCGCTGCGCTAATTCAACTGATAAGTGCACGGTCGTGCAATGCTGTACCCAAACAACAGTTACGTTCTTTTTTTTCACACAAATAAAGCTTTCTTTTGGTGGTATTTGAGCACCTGTGCGCTTTTTATTTTTTACACTATAAACAAAAAAAAAACAAGAAATTGGAAGAAAAACTATATTTTTACTTTCGGCTATAAAAAAGATATAGCGAACTCAAAGTAGGTCATAAATTTAGACCAAAATATATTCAGCTACATGTTTTGGATAAAAAAAACAATCCCAAGGAGTGTATCTTGATTGCTTTGTGTGAAAGTATAGCGTCTACAAACTATGGTATAGATACTGCAATTTACAACATTTGTTTGGTATACGGCGCTGCGCTAGTTTAACAGACAATTGCGCGGTCATGCAATACGGTACATAAATGGAATTTACATCCTCTTTTTCACACAAATAGAGCTTTCTTTTGGTGGTTATTTGATCGCCTGTGCGCCCTTTTTTTGTTGGGGCTATAAACAAAAAAAGTTTGGCAAAAACAATTATTTCTTGGAAAACTAAACAATATTTTCTCATTTCTGTCATAAAAATATGTCCAAATAATATTTACATTTCTTCATAAATTTAGGCCTAAATGTATTCTGCTGCATGTTTTTGGTTAAAAACATCCCAATGAGTGTATATTGATTGCTTTGTGTGACATTTATTACATCTACAAACTATCGTATAGATCAGGGGTGGCGAACACGCGGCTCTCGAGCCACGTGCGGCTCCCGGCCAAAATGAATGCGGCTCTTTGTCTCTTATCATATTTTGTATACTGTGGCTCTTTGCCAAGTTTCATGTTTCTCTTATTTTTATCTGTTCCTCTATCCAGCGGCGCGCTGTCTTCCGGCTTCTGTAGTGTGGGCACTGGGCATGACAGCCAAGTGCCAAGTGTGCATGCGCAAGAAGCGGTGCTTTTTGTAAATGGTAAGGCGGTACCTGGGACACATGACAGATCCCAGAAGCCGCCGGACCAATCACAAAGTGCAAGTGCTTCTCGCTCATGCGCACTGGGCACCCGGCTGTCATGCCGAGCGCCATTACAGAAGCCGGGAAGACAGCGCTCGGCTGGATCGAGGAACAGGTAAGATCAAACAAAAACTCTGCGGAAGTAAGAGCGGGTACCTGTCAAATTCAGGTACCCGCTCCCCACCTCCCCAAAGGTCAGCAGTCATCTGTACTGTCCGCAGTCTCTGGTCATCCCTGTGCTGTCCGCAGTCTCTGGTCATCCCTGTGCTGTCCGCAGTCTCTGGTC